TTGCAATCATAGTATTGTATATATATATATGTGTATGTTATGGCTATTGTTCTTTGCTTTTTCTTTTGTGAAGAATGATGTATTGTAACACAATCTGCATATAAGTAATATATTGGATTATGTTTACTATAATCGTGTCCTAGCATTCTTTAGTTAATCTAGTGCTATGTACAATTGTAGTATTCGTTTGATGTTTTATTTGTTAATTGGTTTGCTAGGTAAAACGTTTTATATATTGGTTTTGTTTATTTTATTTGAATCATTGTATAGATATACTTATTAGTATCTATCCAATGTATTTCATAGTATTATAATGCTGTTCACACTTGTATTAATTGTGCAGTGAGGGCAAATTAATTGTTTGTACAAGAATCAATTTAATAGTTTTATTTAATTATATGTATGTGCTCCATACTTGTTTATATAGTTATTATCTGTGTATTGTTTGTTGTAGTTGCGAATTATATTGCAATTATATTTGTATTATCATATAGATATATTATTTATTGTTTTATGTACATTCTGAAGTATTATTTTCGTTATTCATTACTTTTATCCATGAACTATAGTCTGAATTGATGAATTATTTTGTTATATGATGTGATAATTGTCTGTATATTATTTATTTTTGTATTAAACACTGTTAAGTTAATTATATTATCATATTAATATTATTCACCAAGTATGAGCATTTGTTTCATAGTAGAATCATTATTTATTTAATGTTGAAGTTCAATTGCACATTGTATTGACTTCCATTATTTAGTTCCAATCAATGTAGTTTTGCTTTGTACCAAATGATTTACCTTTATGATCTGTTATGTCTGTCTGTAACTTCTATTACTTAGTCAGTGCTTAGTCCATGCATTTTGTTATTCTATTTTTTGTAGTGTCTGTAGCATTATACTTTCTGTTCTATTGTTTATATTTAGTTATTAATTTTTCATGCATATTATCCATTTTCTCCCCTTCAATTCAAGAAGGTATTTCTTTGAAGAATTGGATATTTCTTTAATGTTTATTAATTGTTATTATAATATAATATTTATATATAATAATTGTAATTGCTTTCATAGTTCGATTTCTAATTATTAGTATTTTAAAGCAGTGTGTAACGTTTGTTATGTTCTATAATAAGTAATTTAAATGTTATTACTATTATATCTTTGTTACCATTAACATTTGTCAACTTATATAATGTGTATTTTGTTTGTTATAGTAGATAAGTACACATTATGTATAATATACGAGTTTTGTTTGCACTCATTATCTTTTATTAATAATTGTTCATAACTGGTAATTCGTTTGTTTCCATATAATATTTGTTTAATAACATTGTAATTATTATTTATGTAGCACTTTTAATAAATGCACTGAGTTCTATTAAGTATGCTTGCATCTGTTATTGTCTATTTTATATTATACTGTCCAAGATAATGGCTTAAATATTTTATTAATTTATTTAATCATTTTATATTATGATTGTTTTTGATTGTAATTATTATAATAATGCATTTGTAATAATTATATTTGTATTGTTTGTTGTAATAGCCTTATCAGCTTAATACTTTGCTCCTACAAGCTATGTTGTCACAATGTAAATTTAATAATTGTTTGTTAAGGTCAGTTGATGTTGCTGTTACAACTTCGAAATTTATTATATAATCAGCTGTTGTGATAACACATTCTGCATGCATAATTAAGTTGTATTAATGTGTTGTTTCAAGTATATTAGAGATATAATTCTTTTGTTCATTGTTAGTATACATTTACACAATTGTATTAATGTGTAAAGTAGTATAATTTGTTTAATGGTTATAATTTTGCACTTGTCTTGTGCTGTAATCAGTATTTATGTGTTATAACATTATTCTTTGTGTGTAGTTAGTTTATACACTCTGTAGCATTGTTTTTTTGGTTTGTAGTTATTCATTATACTTTTGTATATCTGTACTCGTCTGTATATCTTAGATATGCATATTATATTTGGTATCTGATAAGTAATTACAATATCCAACATGTAACTGCTGAATCCAATATGTTACATATAATTGCTTGACCATAATATGTGTTAGTTATTATATTGTTCTGTATTTGTTCCATTAGTTCTATCTGTATTATTATTATTATTATTGTTATTATTGTTGTTATTATAGTGTCTGTAATTATATTATTGTTTATAATGTATGTTAAATGTTTTATTTATTTGATTTAATATGTTGTTTAGCATATATGCACTTGTTTTGAGCATTAATTGTTTAGCTGTGATATTACTATATGTGTTATTATTTGATTTATGCTATAACATATGTGTGCTCATTGACAGTGTCAATCATTTGTACTATTGTAATGTTAATAGTAGAAGAGTAGTGTTTGCTTTATTAATCTTTTTAACATTTGTCTGTAGTATGATCAGTTAATTTATTATAACATGATCTCTGTGATATTATAGAGTATTTTAGTGATTAAATGTTGTAGTAAGTGATACTCATTGTAGTTTCAGTGTTGCCTGCATAGATTATGTTATTACTGGGCCAATGATCATAATCACTAAGATGACAATCATATAATGTCTGGGTTGTATGTAGTACAGTAGATTGTGCATTTGTAGTGTATTGATTTGCATTTGGGATACTCAGACAAGTGTGTTGAGTTCTGCATCATAGTATGCTGTGTACATGCATGTAATCTGTAGAGCTGTATAGAGTATAGACATAGTAGAGTGTAGATAAAGTGTAGGCAGGGAGCTCAAGGCTCATAACCTGTTAAGAAAGGGGAAAGAGGGGTTATGTGAGAGGCTTAGAGGGATCACACAAAGAGGGGGGATAGTAGACTCAGCTTGCTCTCTCACAGCTTGCTTCATTGTCTGTTGATTAGTTAGTCTATATATACTATGTAGGTATGTCTCAGATGTAGAATGTATGATGGAAGGTATTCTATCATTGTTCATCATTGCTTGTAATATAGTTTATATCATCTGAGACATACTCTTGTGTAGTCTTGTCTTAACACTTGTACTTGTTATTGTTATGCCTGAAAGGTGCTTCATCATAGTCCCTACAATCCTACAGATGATTACTATCCCTTCTTGAACTGTACTGGTCACCATCCCTATCAGAGCTTCCCTCTTGAATGATAAGTTGTATCTGTTTCTCAGAACAAGTGTACTGTCCTTCAAGACATGTGCTTTGGGTGAGGGAAGGTAGGGTAGGTGATTGTGATTGTCCTGTGTGTGTCTGAAAGAAATTCCAGATGTCTGCAAAACCCTGGCTCTAAAGTTTTTCTTCTTTCTTCCTTACTCTTTTTTTCTGGTCTCTAATTGTTTAGGCTGGCTTTTAAGATGTAAGACTGACTGTTTTGTACTTAACAGGTTGTACTTGTGTCTCTAAACAACTTGTCCAACATTTAAGGCTATCCAAAAGAAATTCAAGGAAGTCTTTTGCTTCTGATACAGTAAGGATACTCTGGTCAAGATCAGCCTCTTTATTACTGTTATAAGAAGCTTTACTAAGTATAGAGGGGCAATCAAGAGGGGCTGTCAAGCCCTCTGCCTCATCTTTACTGTCATCAGAGATGGTAAGCTAATATCATTATGTTAATTTCATTGTAGACTAAAACATGCTTTAGAACACTAAATAATATACTTACAGTACTCCTCTTCCTTAGTAGGTTGTTTATCCTAGCCTTCTCTCCTGTCTTCTAGCATAGTATGAGTCTCTTGAGTTTACCAGTCTAACCAAACACAAGGTCATGTCTTATATTTGTAATATTACGTAATACCCAAATATAGTAATTATTTGTCATTTCATCATAACTGAGTGCAGCAAAATATGAGAGGAATTTTAGAATTTTTTTTTTTTGTGTGGCAAAATAACAATCAAGTTAATTAGAGCAAAAAACAGTCTTTTGAAAATAACTTGGTCAATTTTCATTTTTTTTGAAATTTGTTACATCATTCTGTAGACAAGTATTATCCTAACAATTCTATAGTGTTACATTTTGAAATTAGGCTCTATGGTTGGACGAGTTTCCTCATCATTGTTGTGTCTGAATTAGGCAGTTCAGGGTAGATCACGTGTGTCACGCAGCTTGTCAAGTTTATCTTTCGTCTACCTTATTAGTGGTGGACATTCAAAAGCAGTCTGGTCTGCTACCTTCTCACCTGATGGAAGGTGTATTGCCTCAGGTTCCTACGATTGTACGATTCGAGTCTGGGACGCTGAAAGTGGGCAATACATATCTGGGCCTTTTGAGGGGCACAAAGACGCCGTTTGTTCTATCTCCTTTTCCCAAGATGGAGCACATGTCGTATCTGGATCCAGAGATAAAACGGCCCGAGTATGGGATGTCGAGAGTGGGCAGACCGTCTCTGGCCCTTTTGAAGGCCATACAGAAATGGTCTTCTGTGTCGCTTTCTCGCCTGGTGGGAGACATATTGTCTCCGGATCTTATGACAAGACAATCATACTCTGGTACGTCGAAAGTGGGAAAATCATTTTCGGGCCCTTGCACAGACACACAGACACTGTCAGATCGGTTGCTTTCTCGCCTGATGGCACACATGTTGTCTCTAGTTCTAATGACAAAACCGTGTTGATTTGGAGTACTGAGAGTGGGCAAGTCATTTCTGGACCTTTTGAGGGGCATACAGACAGTGTTCAGTCAGTGGCTTTCTCACATGACGGAGCACGTGTTGTCTCCGGATCCCTTGACGCGACAGTCCGAGTATGGGACGTTGAGAGTGGACAGGCCATTTTTGCACCTCTTGAAGGTCATAAGATACGCGTCTGATAAACTCGACAAGCTGTGTGACTCACGTGATGTAACCTTACCTTCCTAATGCAGCCTCCACAATGAGCACGAAACTCGTCCATCCAGAGACCCAAAACTCAAAAAGTAGCACCATTGATTTGTTGTATTAAGCCTTCTCTACAAGATGATGGAACAGAATTTTTTAAAAGTGAATATTGGCTGAGTTATTTTGCAAACTATGTTTTTTGCTCTAAATGCTGTAATTATACTTTTCCAGCAGTCTGGTAAATTTTTTAATTTTTTCCTTCAGATTTCGCCACCATTAGATAAGGCTATATGACAAATAATTGCTATATATGTATATTACATAATAACATTTATAATATATAGTATTTGTCATAATGATCGGATGGT